GAATTAAGCCAGGCTTTACAAAGCCGGTGACCTAAAAATGGCGGACGTACATGAAAGAAAAACCGCCTAATCTTTTAATAGTCTCTCCGCCTCCCCACACGTCGTCCCTGCGGGGTACAGTAATTAAATCTCGGCTCCGTTCGCCATGCGGAAGCTACCTGAGAAATATTAAGTGCGCATGCTCATCAGTTAAACTCGTGGTGAAGAAGGCATAGCGGCTGAAGGCGATCGAAAAAAAAAAGCTCTTCTGTTCTATTATCTTTGAAAACAGAGACGAAAAAGGAATAATTTGGCCCGTAGAGCAGCAATGAATCGACTATCTAAGGAGATAATATCACCAGAGATATTCACGGAAATATTAATGTTCGGAGCCGAGATTTAATTACTGTACCCCGCAGGGACGACGTGTGGGGAGGCGTGTGAGAGGCGGAGAGACTATTTAAAGATTAGGCGGTTTTTCTTTCATGTACGTCCGCCATTTTTAGGTCACCGGCTTTGTAAAGCCTGGCTTAATTCGTTGAGAATGCGCTCTATCATGTTCTTTTAAGATATTGCATTCAACTTCTCATTTCTTTTATTTATTTTGCGAAATCTATTTTTTAAATATGTATAGTTTTGAAATCTGATATTGAAATATGAATGATATTTGACAACTGCATAATTGCACTGCAACCTATTTCCTTTCGCTTTGCAGGTTCTAAGGGGGTCTGCCACCTTGTATTTTGTTTCCAAAGTGTTGCCAATAATAATGAGCTCTGGCCAATACTATACTGTTTATGGACAGCCTTGCAGCGCTCACGAGGTAATATATGTACAAAAGTTAAAAGGCAGCCTAGATTAAAGGTTCCCCGATTCGTTGCCCGTATAGTAAGCTCGTCTTCATCTCGACTCTCTTCTCAGCGTGAGTACGTGTTAATATGTATGTACAAAAAATAAAAACATTTTCTATCATTTACAAACGTGAGCCTTAATTTTCTTTCCCAAAAATTATATATATATATATATATATATATGATTTCTGTTGTTTTTCATTCACCCAGCGTAAGCCCCCTCGAGAAGGGAAAACGGACCCAATAGATACAGAAATCGGTCTTGGGTCACTGTGTGAACGGGACTATTTTCACAAGTCCCGTCTATATGAGACAAGCTCCAGCTCCCGGGAGGCAAGGGGAAACCAAGAAATCGGTCTTGGGTCGCTGCATGAACGGGACTATTTTCACCAGTCCCGTCTATATGAAACAAGTCACAGCTCCTGGGAGGCAAGGGCAAACCAAACCCAAAGTTCTTTTTGGAGGACTTGGACTCCATGCAGAGAAGTCTGGAAAACGTGGACACCCTCCCGAGTGGAAAATCCTCGACATCCTTGCCGTTCTGAAACCCCACGCAGGTGTCTTTTCCTTAGTGATATCCCTCTTTCCAACCTTCGTCCACTCGGAGGGCCAGGCGGAACATCGGTTCTAGGTTGCGGGGCCTTTGGAGAAGTGTCATTGCATCTCTACCAGCCCATCGACGGCGGCAAGCCCCGAAACGCTGCCGTGAAATTTTTCAGGGACGGCAGCTTCATGGATTTAGCACACGAGACCAGTGTTCTGCTGTCTCTCAACGATCTCAGCTGCGTCCCGAAAGTGTACGGCCAGGTTGTGGGAGGCAGCAGACCTGGTCTTGTTATGTCAGCTGTACCCGGGACAACGCTGGAAAAGTTTTTGGAAAAGTGGACAACCGACAGTTGTTTCCATAGGTTTGAATTATAATTTCTTTATTCTTTGGATATATTCGTGTTTCAATTTACATTTATTTCTACATTAATTATTTATATTTATATTTTTGTAATATATTCATTTAATTGTCTTCTTATTTCTGATCAAAAATGATTTTTTCATAGCATTAAATCGATATTTTTCCTTAATACAAAAGTTATATATTAGCACGTCAATTCATTTATTTATTTTTTATCTTTTTCCACAGGTGCGTCACTAGGGTAGATTTCCTCCACATCTGCCTCCAGGTGGTGAGGGCCATCAAGTCGTTGCATTGCAGTAACATCTTGCACAACGACTTAAAGACAGACAACTTGATGGTCCAGATACTCTCACAGAACCATCACATGTTCAGAGTCTTTGTGATAGATTTTGGAAATGCCACTCAAGTAGGCCAGTACAACGCCTACCACATAGACCCTGACGATGTCAGAGAGGGCAGGGTCACCTGGCTGGCCCCAGAGGTGAGGAGAGGGGAGCCTACATCTATCTCATCTGACATCTACAGTGTCGGTGTCGTGCTACGAGATGTCCAACACAGCACTGGCCTCTACGACGACCTGGACAATCTGGTTGAAGGGTGCACGAGGGAAGAGCCCGTTTGTCGGACACCACTGGGCGAAGCAGAAAAGAGGCTTCTGCTGAGGTACAAGAGCCTCAGGGGATAGACGGACGGTCAGGCGGACAGACAGACAGACGGACAGACAGACGGACAGTCAGACACACATAGACCATAGGAGGGAGTGGCCGATGGACAAACAGACGGTAGGGAGGGTGTAAGTAATGGCGAAAGACGGACAAACTGACAGAGGGATAAAGGAGTTTGAAGGAATTCAGGAGGGAAGGATTTTAGCGCTCTCTTTCGGCGTACTCACTGTTTCACAGCGAGAGAAATCACAGTGCGCGATGATTGACGTTTGTTTACATAACCTGCCAATCAAGCTGTTATTACTTGACAGCAATTATCAAAACTAACTGAATTTGATTGGCACCTTGTCAATCAAAGGATGTAGGAATCTTGAACTAAACGTGTTCGACGACTATAGTGATCCACTCTGTAATGATAGTGATTGACGTTTGTTTATATAACCTGCCAATCAAGCTGTTATTACTTGACAGCAACTATAAAAAACTAATGAGTTTGATTGGCATCTTGTCAATCAAAGGATGTTGGAGTTTTACATGTTCGGAGAGAAGAGTGTAATAATTGTGTTTGACGTTTGTTTAAAAAAACTGTCATTCGTGTACGCTTGACAGCTTCTATCAAAGTTGAATTAGCCTGTTTGAATTTGATTCATACCTGTCTATAACAATACATGTCGTAACATTCTGGAGGTAGGGGGCATTTTATTTTCTTTTTCTTTTTTTTTTTTTTTTTTTTTGCAGCTCGTTAAAAAACGTCGGTTTCTTTATTTCAACCTAGAGACTGAAATTTAACTACGCGAAAAAGTCCCGGAGTCTTTCACGGGTGTTTTTAATTGTACTAAAAATAAGATGTTATTCTTTTTCTGGATATGATGAAAAATGACTATACATGACCCTTTCTTTGGTGCTCGTACGAAATAAAATCGGAACTTCGTATACGAACTGAACATATTACTTTAATCATATTCATGTTCTTTTGCACCCGATGAATATTTTTGGACCATTTTTTAAAAAACGAATGGTATAAAAAGTAAAACTTTGCCTTTTTCTCATGAGCTACGGAGAGAAAAAATGTCGAGATAATGATGTTAGTGGCCAGGTAAAATTAAAAATAACCGGTTTTGTTCGTTCCTTATAATGGGCCGGGGTAATAAGTAGCCCGTCGCTGTATATTGACAGGAGCGTGTGTAAATTTGTTGTTTTTAAACAAACTACACAACTAAAACTGCCAAATAAAAAATTGAAAACAATTTTATGCAATGCGTTAATAATCTTTCGAGCTTTAATCTGCGATGTATTGTTAGTACTTCATAAGTATAAAAAACTCCAGATTTCAATAACGTGTGAAAATTAATAAACTAATAGTGGAATAAGTCGGGCTGGTTTAATAAAAGACTTGGAATTCTTGGTTTAATTTATTGAAGTTGTTCGTTCAATTGGTAAAATATTATCTTTTCATTATATATGAAATGGTTGCTTCGCCGTTTTAATATTATACTTTTTTATTTAATTTATTTTATTCTATTTTCAAGTAAAAACAAAATTAATTCAGCATTAACAACAGCATCTTTGCTTTGCCTCATTTAGCACATTTTATGAATTTTTTGTCCGAATGCGCATATTACGTATAATGTAATAGATTTCCTGGCATGCTTTTTGCAGTTAATATTCAAAATATGCAGTATGTTAATGTTTCATACCGCTAGTGACACTAAAAATGACGCTTTTTTCCTCGGTAAAAATACCCACACATACTGAGCTTACTTAAGCCCCGATTTAAGTGTCATCCACAAGTAAACTCAGTACCGAAATGCCGTATACTGTACTTCCATTCTTATTGTTCAACCTTTCTCTCTCTCTCTCTCTCTTTTAATCTCTATATACGTAAGAATGATTCAGAATTTACTCGATGGGGAATCATAAATTGATACAGGGTTGATATAAAAAGGCGTTCCATTTTTTATTGAACTGGGTCTTTTAATGGCAGACAGTAGGGGAGACCGGGGCTAGTTGGCCCAGTTAGACACTTTTCGCCTTGTAGAGCCAACTAGGAATAGGTTAGAGTCACAAAATCGGTTTCAAAGTAAGCCCCATGAACTAAGCTACGTATGCAACATCATTATTTTTCAAATATAATGCCAGATGGCTCACAATTTGACAAAAGACGCAGTTGACGTCAAGGGGGCCAACTTGCCCCGCCACGGGGCAAGTTGGCCCCCCTATACGAAAATGAAGTATATATCCCATGTACACGCCTTGAAATACATTTTTATACATTTTTAATTTATTAAATTGATTTTTTAGAGTCTTTGATGAATAAATAGTTCAAATGAGGCAGATTTATTGAGGTTTCCNGCAAGCTTTGTCAATTTCACCAACTTGTTTATTTCAAACAGCGTTGCGCGCAAAGGATTGTGGGTAATATGAGGGTCCAACTTGCCCCGAGTCTAGGGGGCCAACTAGCCCCGGGTGCACCTTTTTTATTTTAAAGGATGGCAACCATTTATGATGCTAGAATGCGCAACGATGATATATCTCAGTGAAACTTGAAACAATGAGCTTCAGTTTGATGCCCTATACATATATTATATTCGGTCAAAAGCCTTTGAAAACAGATTTTTAATTCTGATAAACAAAATTACTTTTAGGTGCAAAAATCGTTTATTTGGACTCACCGCTTAAGTAAAACTTTTTAACGTCCGATACTTCCTTAGCATTGTAGGCTACGGTCACTTTACAAGAGTATGTGACCAATTTTTTTACCTCGTAGTTACTTTTTCATAAATTGACGGGGGGCCAACTTGGTCCAACTAGCCCCGGTCTCCCCTAACGCGTCTTCTTAGGAACGGGGCATTTTTTGTAGAGAGCAATACTCCACACGCTGTCTACTATAGAGACTAGTCCCGCCTAGGTTTGCTAATTTTATTTATACAAGGCGGTCAAGACCAATATTTGGTTTGCGAAATCACAGCATGAATGGCATAATTCAAAATATTTTGGGGGAAGGCCCCTTCTTCACATCCGTACGGCTGCCCAAGGCAGTCGGAGCGCGGGCTATAAAAGGAATGGTGTTTTAAAAGCCTCCAGCCCACTTTTTTTACGTTAAGGGGAAGGGACGGATTGGTTCTTCTATTTTTTTTTTTTTTTTTTTTTTTTTTTTTTTTTTTGAAGCACAAAGTGGTCGAAGTAAAACTTTTTGATACCTTTCCTGCCTTGCGAAAGCACAACCAGTACAACGCATGAATTTTGTGCTAGCCGTCACAATGAGGCCGAGACCGCAGCACGGGCAAAACACTGCAGTCTAAACAGTGGCGTGTTTAAGGGGGTGTCAGGGGGTCCTGCCCCCCCCCCCCCCCC